ATGGAGAAGTGACTGACCAACTGTGGTTAAGAGGGCAGAGATGTGAGCATTGGGTTTGGAAGCATGGAGATCATTGGTAACTTTGACAAGAACAATTTTAAGAGAGTGTTAGGGTTGAAAAAGTGGAATGGGTTTATGAGGATAGGAGTAGAGGCAGAGGACCTAGATGACTCTTTCATAGAGTTTTGCTCAATAGAGGAACAGAGTAATGAAGCACTAACTGGAGGTGGGAGTTGGGTTAAGTGAGATTCTTTTTTTTTTTAATGTTGACAGGAATGCTTCAAATGAAATGGATGTTCTTATGCTGTAGAAGAGAAAAGGATAATTACAAAGAGGCAAGTCCTTTTGAAGGTGAGAAGGGGTGAAATCCAGCAATTTACACTGGCACCATCCTGCATGGTTGTGTAACATTTGCTAGCACCATCATTGCCTTGGAGCAGGCACTAAGAAAGCAGATGTTTAGATTTGTCCAGATATGATGCTGTGTCAGGTGCAGATGACCAAAGGACAGTAGAAAAGGGATATTAGGATGCAGACAAGAGAGCTGTTGAAGTGATGGTCCATTGACTCAAGGTAGATAGTGAGAGAAGTGAAGAGAAGAAAGGGCTAGTGGATGGGGAAAACGGTAGAGGAGAGAGAGGGTAGGAGGTCCCCATGAGCTGGAAAGAAGGTTGTCACTACCTTTCATTGGGAAGTAGTTGAATAAGCCCACCAGAAAAAGGAGGAGGTAGAGATCAGAAAGTAGAAGGCCTGCAATAAATATTCCAGAAGTGATAACACGGTACAGGCTGTACCTGTGGGAAGAGGTGGTGGCAGTGGAATTTACAAGGACTTCAGACATGTCAAGGTTGAAGAACTGGGAAGCCTGATGATTGGGATCAATAGTTCACAGGTATGTATGCTGAAGTCACACACACTCATCACTCCACTTCATGGCTATCCTGCCCCACTCCCTCTATCCAGTCACTTTCTCACATCCAGTGAGATATGGATGTAAAGGAAGAATGAGCCAAGGTGCAAAGACTGGCCTGAATGCTGGATATCTTAGCCAATTAGCATGAGCCTCAAAGAAGGAGAGGTTTTCATCCAAAGGCAGACTAGTCTATCTGGGGTGAAGCTACAGGGGTGCCTTGCTTAGTGGAGGGAGCCCAGCTTCAGTTAAGGGAGAAGTGAAGAATTTCCCTGTAAGGAGAAGTGGAACAGCTGGAGTACCTCTGTCTGCCAGAACTTTCTGTGATGATTAAAGTGTTCTCTATCTGTGGTTATTGTGACTGAGACACTGAATTTTCAATTTTATTTAGTTCTAATTCATTTAACTGTAAATAGTCACATGCGGCCAGTGGTGACTGGAATGGCCAGTAGAGCTCTAGAGATGTGTTCTGGTTAGGAATCCAAAGCTCTCAGGGTCACAACAGGGCAAGGCAGGGAGGAAGGGGAGGGGAGTGGGGCACAATGGCAGTGAGCCTAGAGCTACAAGGTTGAGTTCATAGCCCCCAAATACAGGTTACTGGGGCCAAGAGAAATGGACAGGGGCCAGGTGATGAGAGCCAGCCCTTTCCTCTATGCTGAGATTTGAATTTCCACCAAGGGGGACTTTGGCCAGCAGGCTCTTTGTTCTGCACATATGGACAAGGATGCGGCCCCTGAACTGTTTTCCCCTCTGGTCTTTGCAGTCTGCTGTCTTTGAGATCAAGGCAGCTGAGCACCCAGGGAGTGAGGTCTCTAGAAAGGACTAATAGAAAAGCATACATGCTGCAAAAGGTGAATCACAGTAACTTGGCTCTCCTGTGTGAAGGAGTTTTAGGTATCCACTGCATTTCTCATTCCCAAGTGGGCATTTCCCAAGTGCAAGGGCAATGCTTAACCATAAGGAACAAATCAGCAACTCTTGGAGTTGGACAGACCCTCAGGTTGCTGTGCCTTCAACTTTCCCAGCCAGCAGTTTTGTCAGGCCAGGCTTAGCAGGACCCCTGAATGGAAGCTGCCTTCCTCTCCAGATAGATCCAACTGTTCAGAAGTCTATTTTCCCATGCAGCCTCCATCCCCATGCCAGGTCTCCCAAACCAGGGCCCCAGTCAAGTCTGGGGACTCCATGCAGACCCCAATACTGATTCTGGGTTCCCATTTTTATCAAGCAGTGGCTTTCATACCTTTCTTATTCTGGGCTGGGGCTCACAATGCCCAGTGGGCATCAGTCCTACCAGAGGGTCCCAGAGCCCAGGCTGCTTCTGAGACAGCAACAGAGCTTCTGGGGCCAGGGCTTCATCCCAGCTAAGGGACATGGCTCCCAGTAGGGCCAGCCAGCCTTGGATTCCCCAGGCTGCTGACTTGCTACACCCTCAGTATGGCCCCTTAGCGGGATTGGCTGAGCTCCGGGGATGAGGGGGCGATGGGCAGGGAGCCCACTGTCTCCTCCTCATTACTTCCCTTCCTCCTCATCCCAGGAGCCTCCAGGCCGGCCAACTGTACTAAAACTCCGGAAAACCATGGCGGGGAGGTTTTCCAATTAGAACATTCTTTTTCCGATCTGTGGATGATTCTTAAAGCAGCAAAAAGCTATTCTTCAGGGCATGTGGGGATTATCTGCCAGCAAGGCCTTGGCTCAGCTTGTGCACTTGTCCTGTGGAGGTTTGGCCTGGGGCTGCTTCACAGCCAAAAACAAAAGGCATTCTGCATTCTGGGGCATCGGGTCACACAGGCCAAGGCTGATGGTGGAGTGTTTCCTCAGCTTATTCAAAGTAATGGATTCAAAAGGCAGCAGGGAATTCAGGCTGCAGGGATGGGAGATGTCCCAGTGGCCAGGGAGGCCTGCCTACATGACCTTTCTACTCCTGGTGGAGCCACTGTGTACAGAGTATGGATTCTTCCCCTTGGAGCTGAACTGGTCTGCCTTCCCCACCAGACTGGGTGCTGCTTCAAGCCAAGACAGGGGGTGGCAGCGTGATGAGAGGAGTCCCAAAGGGGGCATTTGGTGCTGACAGTAGGCAGGTGTGTGGAGGTGGGGGCCAGCCCCTTAGCCAGAAGTGCAGGCTGAGGGTGGGGCAAGGGGGGTGTCTCACTTCATGTGCTAGTCCTGCAAGTTCAGGTCCCTGTACAAGCTGTTGTGGGTACAGTCATACATGGGGACCCTTGCACTCCTTGGAGCCAATAGAGTCACCCAGCAAGTGGAAACCGGTTGAAAAGCTTAGAAGGATGAGACAGCAGGGCGGGCCCTGGAAAGGAGGGAAGGAGGGGATTAGGGTGCAAATAGGGGCCCAGCCCTCCCCACCATGAACCTAAGTGCCCAGGCTGGGTGAGGCCTCCATTCAGTACACTGGAACCCGGTTTTAGTCTCAGCTGTGCCTCAGACTAAAGCTTGTGGCCCAAGCTTAATGCCATCCCTCTCTGGACCTCTGTTTCCTAATTAGCACAATGGCAGAATTCAAGTCAATTGATTGTCTCCAGTTCCTTCTGGTGTGGGGACATTCTGGTGTGGGGTTGGCTTTGGGGCCTGACAACTTTCAGAGCCCCAACCATCATCCCCCTCTATAGCCTGGGAATGCTTCAAGTAGACTGGCATGCAAGTTTTGTTCCCAGCCCTGGAGATCAGAGGGGTCTCCCTGGAGCTTACGAGCCCTGCTGGCAAGTTCTTCCAAACAGCCACCTATCCCTGTATATATCTGCTTGCTTCAACCTGGCCTCCCAAAGAATCTGTCTCCACTGTCTGCTCACGGGTTGTGGCCCCACTTGGCATAGGGGACCTCTCCACTCCTGCCTCTGCCTTCCAGACCTCTTGCCTAACCAGGCAGCCCAGCCTGGTTTCACCCTCAAGCCCACCCTACTTAGAGGCAGCATCTGTACCCTCAAAGCAGAGCCTTGCTGACAACCTGCTTTTCCGTGGGGAGGCTGCCTGAGCTGTGGGTTTCAGGAAGACTCTACTAGAGCCTGGCCAGCCTTGGAGCTGGAGATAAGGACCAAGGCACAAGAAGAGCTGAGAATAGAGAGGGATAGAGCCAAGCTCAGGCTAGTCAAAGGTAGAGCCCAGGCTGGGGGCAGCTAGCAAACACCAGGGTCTTGGCCCTCAAGATCTAAGCTGAGAGGAAGTTTATGAAGGAGTCAGTGTTGCAGCTGAGAGTGGGTAGTAGGTCACCACCAAGTGAACATCTTGTGCTTGGGCCTGGTGGTATGAGAGAGAAAGTAATGGGGGTGTCTGAGTCCGGGTACCTGAGGGCAAGGAGTCAAAGAGGAGGCTGATAAAGTTGGGAGGGACCCTGAATCCTGGATGAGGTGGCTGGGGGTAGCTCTGACAGGGGTGGGGGCATTCTTCTGGAGCAGTGAACAGGTGGGCAAGGCAGGGCAGAATAGGGTGGGGCAGTTGCTGTTCGAGTCAAACCTGTTTGCAAGCAAGATCAGCACAGGGCCTGGCAGCCTGGCAGAGAAGGAGGAGTTGAGGAAAGCCTGGTCCCTTTGGCTGGTGCTGTTGTGGCAGATCTGGCCTAGACAGGGCTGAATCACCTGGGATGTGGGAAGAGCTCAAGACCCTGGAATAGTCCAGCTGATAGGCCCCCCTTGCTCATTGGCCATTGATGGCTTTGGACACCACTCTTTCTTGTGCTCTCTAGCTGGCCCACCTAGAGTTAGGGCTCTGGAATGAGATTACTCCTCCCCAATGGTAGCCTTGGGAGGGAAGGACCACCTTGTTCCTCACCCCTACATCAAATCCATCACTGGTCCTCTATATTCTTGAAGGGGAAGGGGGCCCAGAGAGGAAATGTGACACACTGTAGGTCCTACAGTAAGTATGTTTAGGGCCCAGGATGCCAAGCCAAATACATCACAGCCACCAGCAGTCCAATGTCAGGGGAGGGAAAGAGTTTGATGTCGGCCACCAGACTGGAAGCAGAAAAATGCTTATTAGCAAAAGACAGAGATGAACTGAAGTGACTTTATGTACAATCGCCCCAGCTTTACCCCACACACATATTCACATAGACACAGGGTCACTTCCTCCCTACCTGATAAAGCACAGGAAGTGAAGGATGAAGACAGCTTCCAGAATCTCAATCACCCCTCAATCTTCTTCTGCATATCCCTTCGGACACTCTGTGCTGGTCTCCACGACCTAGTGATGACTCAGACAGGGCCCTCCCATCTCGGAGCTCACCATCTGGAACAAGAAAAGATTGTGGCCACTGTGCTAGATTGATGTAATCAGAGTAAACTAGGGGAACACACAGAAGGAAGTGATTGACATAACTGAGTGGTCTGTGCAGTCAGGGAAGGATTTAGAGAACACTTGAGGGAAGTTTTGTAGAGTGACTAAGAGTTCACTAGTCAGACAACAGGACAAAGGACATTTTAGGGAGTGTCAGTGCCAGGAGCAAATGACCTGAGGAGACAGGACTTCTGATGCATTCCAAAGGAAGAAGGAGGCAAGCATGGCCAGAGTGTAGTCAATCCAAGAGGAGAGTGGCTGGTCCTGCAGAGTTGGGTGAAGCAGAATCCTTGGGCCCCTTAAAGAGTTTGGTTTTTATCCTGAGAATGATGGAAAGTCAACGAAGAGCTGCAAGCAGGGAGCAATGCCTAACGATTAAAGAGACTTCTGTGTGAAGACTACATTGCAAGGCAGGTGACACCAGTGTCAGGGAGACCAGCAAGGGGGTGGGAGTGGAAAGAAATGGATGGGTTGGAGGACTATTTGGGACATAGGCTTGGCAGGGCTGCATGAAGGAGAACCTATTGGTCCATCCTTTTGATTCTGCCATTCTGATAAGGCAACACTCGACCAACTCTGCTGTCTCTTAGACTGGCTTAACTATCCCTTGCCTTGCCTGGGAGGCCTCCCAGGCCCACCACACCCAACACACGTACAGGTAGGGTTAGGGGCTTCTTTGGATGCTCTATCCATCCTAGCACTGAGTAAACCTGACCGAATGACACACATGTTCAAAAACATGAATGGATGACACTGATCAAACTGCACTAGACCTTGGTGTTTGAATGTGTCTCCCTGCTCAGCCTGTGAGGTGGCCCTGCTTGCTGACAGGGTGCTCGCTGCTGCTGCTACGCCTTGGGAACCCCGAATCCACCCAGGACGGCCTTCTAGGATGCGAACTTCCCCACTGTGGCCTCACTTTCTTCTTCCCAGCCTCTGGGACTTCCTGCATGATCTCAGCCGCCAGCAACCCTCCCCTGCCCCTCTCCCGCCCCTGTCTGGGATCTCCATCTGTAAAATGGATCTAGGAACAGTAGTTCTCGGCAGAATTAACCCGCAGCATCTGTGGAAGTCATCGGCCTTCCAGATTGCATCGGGCGCGGGCAGGGGCGCAACTAGGCAGCCGGGGCACTTCACGTGGCGAGGCCTCCCAGCGTGGGGCCGCGAGCCTGGAGGAATTTGCCTGGAAGTTTTCCCACCGCAGCAGAGCCTTCTGGGGCTCGCTCCTGACTTGGTGCGGGGAGCCCGGACTTGATTTCTCCAGCAGCCCTGGAGGGCGGAACCGGGAAGGGGAGGGTGGCCCAGGACACTGGCGGGGGAATGTGCGGAATGTGCCAGGCCCATCTACCTACCCCAGGAGAGGGCAGGGGAAAGGGGCTGGCCTAGGGGAGGGGCGAGGGGCGAGGCTCCGGGCGCCGGAGAAAACCTGTTTGTTCTCCCGCGGGCGGAGCCCAGTCCGCGCCTCCTCGCCGCCCTGCAAGTTCCCCGCCGCGCCCAGAGCCCAGCGCCCCGCGCACCGCGTCCGCGCCAGCCGCCTAGCCGGGCCTGGGGGAGAGAGCCGGAGCCCCGCCTCCACCCGACCCTCCACTTGCCCCGCGAGCCGTGCACCTGTGCCAGGTAGGGCTGTCGAGTCGCCGTCGGTGCGGCTGGCAGAGGCGGCAAGGGGCACCGGGCTCCTTGTGCAGTCCGGTGACAGGAACAACTCCAGGCCTCAGTTTCCCCATCCATAATCTTCACCTGCCCCAAGCATACCTTCTGGGCTTTTGCTGGGGAGACAGTGCACCTGGTTTACTGTTTTTCATTGTGAGCGGGGAGACCGACTGACAGAGGCAAAGAAGACTGGCCTGGTTCCTCTGCCCTCACTTTTTCTGTAAGAGAGGGTTTGATTGCTAGGAAATGGCTTGGGTCCAGGGTGCACTGAGGGATTATTGCAGGCCTAAGAATTAGGGAATCTCAGATCAGCTAGCTCACCCTGTGTCTATTTTATAGATGAGAAAACTGACACCCAGAGTAGGGGGCTCACAGGCTACTTGTGATGAGTGTGTGCTGGGCACCAGGCAATCTCCTTGGAGGGCCATGGGGAAGGTAGCTGCTCAGACAGAAGGCGCCGAATCAAGTGTCACTGGGTGTTATCGATGGGATCTGCAGCCAGCGGACTCTGTGGCTGGATTGTTTTGATGGGGGCAGGGGAAGCCAAGAGTCTGTCCTCTTTGGAAAGACAGAGTGATACCTTGCTTCAAAAAGAGACTGAAAGCTCAGTTCCTCCCTCTGTCCATCCTCCTTGCTACTTCCAAGCTGGGGTCATCTGGACAACTCTGTCAGTCCAAGGAGGTAACTTGCCAGGTCACCTGCCACTCAGGGCTGCTGGGGGCTTAGATAAGGTCAGAGGTGGGTGTGCCTGGGTTTTGCAATGCCCAAAGTTCGGTAGGAATTGTGTTCTCACTCAGTCATTTGCACTTAGCCTTGGCATCATGGGAGGCTGTGCAGCTGCATCTCAGGCAACAATCTGTGAACCCTGAGAAAGAGCCCCTCATACCCAGCAGTGGTTGAGGCCTCTGGTAGCCAGACCCAGTCTTGCCTTGGTTTCATGGCCCTTCAGACTTCTGATTTTGGTACCTGGGTGAGGACAAGAAACAGGGTCCCATGAGCTGGTAGGCCTGAACAGTGGGGAGGGTGTCTGGGTTCCCACTCCCTCCTCACCAGCTCACATAAAGGTGTGGAGGAAGTCTGGGGGGAGGGTGTGGTCCTACCTTCCCAGGGCCTCAACTGCCTCATTTGAAAAATCAGGGACAGCTCAGAGGCCCTGCTTGCCACTTAGAAGCAAATGGCCAAGACATAAATGCACACAGACCAAGGGCTAGCTTGCCGACTGGCCTTGGTGCTTGTGCTGTTTGCCTCATCACCTCTGGACCACCCCAGGATGGGCGAAGTGTCACCTGCCCTACCTCCTCCTTCCATCAATTTCCAGCCCCAGCCCTTGTGCCTCGCTGGCTTGGCTTTCAGAAGCCTTGATCTGGCTGGCAGCTCCATACTCAGCTCTAGAGAGCTGGAAGACACCCAGCACAAGGCCAGACGCACAGCAGATGCTCCAGATTTGTTCATTTTAACCTTCTGGCCAGTCACAAGTCAGCAACAGAGGTGGCCAATGACCACATTGTTTGCTGCAGCTCTGAGTGGCATAAGAACAAGGGGCTGTGGGTGCCTGGAGCAAGGAAGCAGCTCTGGCTGCAGGGATCAGGGAAGACTTCCTAGAGGAGGAGGGCTTGGAAGCAGGAGGAGGAGCTCAGCAGCTACCAGGTCAAGGTCCTCATATCCTTTGGGATGACTTGAGCCTGACCTTGCACCCAAAAGACCAAAACCAGTTCTTTCTAAGCTCCTATATGTTCCACCCAGAGCTGAGCAGTGGGAACCTGGAAAAGAAATCATATGCAGACCTGCCCAGGGTGTGACAGTCCGGTTGGGGAGACAGAGACACCACTCAGTAAGGAGCTACCACCTACATTGAAACTGTGTACCTCAGTTCCTTCTCAACTTGAGTCCAGACTCCAGACAGAGCCTCCCACCTGAGGTCAGTGACTCCAGGGGCAGCCATTGCTTCACCTTGGCCTCCTTTAGCCTTGCCTGTGCTTCTTGTGTTTCAACCTAGTGTCCCTGTGGTTTCCTGAGATCTGGCAGGGCAGAGCCTCTGCATCTTCAGCAGTGGGCCGAGGATTTGACCACCCTGAGCATTGTCACCTGAGGATGTCACCTGATCCCTTAGGTGACAACTTTCCTCAGTCACATGCCAAGGAAAGTCCACTGGCTCAATGCACTCAGTAAGCTGGAAGCCATCCTTTCTTTCTCACTCAGCCTCCATGGGTGGCTTATCTCTTTGGTCTGAATCTTGCTTCAAGCCATAGCCTATTGGGTGCCAGCTTATGTGTAATACTAGTTTGTTTTCTGCTTGCTGCTTCCACTGTCAGGCCCTCATGGCATGGGACAAGACCATGGCCCAGGAAGAGGAGAGCGGCAGCCCACACAGTGTTCCTGGCCCTTGGGTTTTTATAGTTGGGACCCACCAAGGACCCTGCATTCATTTCCACTATGCCCGCAGAGAGCTGGCTGGCTAATGTCAAGACAAGGACAGCACAACCAGGGGACCCATGCACTTGAGAGTGATGCCCAAGAGACATTAGCATCATTGCTTCCGTCTACGGCCATACCACCCTGAACGCGCCTGATCTCGTCTGATCTCGGAAGCATCATTGCTTCCAAGGATCAGAGAGCTGGCAGAGGACTCATGAAGTGCAGTGGGGAAGGGAATGGTGGGACAGAGAGGCACATTTATGGCCTAGGGGTGAGTATGGCTGGGAAGTCAAGCTGAGTTCAAAGCCCAGCACATCCACCATCTAGTTGTATAAATCTGAGCACATCACACAGCCTTTGGAGACCTGAGTTTTGTCACCTGTACAGAAGAGAGGCTGAGGCCAGGAGCATGTGCTACACAGCAGCAAGCCACTAGTACCTGACACAGAGGCAGGCAGTCCTCTGACAAGGATGTCGGTTGAGCCAGGACAGCAGTGTCTACCTCCAGAGGTCATGATGGCCAGGGATGAGGTTGGGGCCAGGTTGGGAGGAATGCAGGCGCCCCACTTGAAGAAAAACAGTTGTTTAAAAATCACTGCCAGTCTGCTGATTATGCACATGGCATCAAACTCACACTTAAATGATTTGCCACAGAAAACTTAATTCTTTTGGTCATTTCTGGATGCCTATTAAAATCTGATTTGCTTTCTTTTAAATGTTTTACTGTTTTCAATTTTTATTTTGGATTAACTTAAAAGTCACAGAACAGTTGTAAGAATGGTACAAACCACTCCCTTGATGTCTTATCTGGGTTCCCCACTGTTAATGCTTCTGGTGGTTTTCTTCAGGAAGAGTAAAGTTGACATGGAAACACTTGTATGACAGTAACCTTCCACTAGGGTCAAGAGGTGGACAGGACTCGTGTCAGTTCATTTTCCCAGGGAAAGTGAGGCACAAAGAGGAACTCAATCAACAGTCATTTGAGGATTAAGAATGGAAACACGTTATCATATCATTCAGATATACACGTATGTATTTGGAGAGTGTTTTCTGATCCCTCGCCAGTGGTGGGCACTAGACTACAGGGAAAACTAAGAACTGAGAAGAGCAGGGATGGGGAAGTGGGAGGAGCAGGCCTGGGTGGAGAAGGGACTGGAGATGAAAGGAAAAAAGGCCCTGTGGGTGTCATTCTCAAACTCTAATGTGGGGAGGCAGGAATCTGCAGCTGAAGCACACGTCCTGGAAGGACTACCTGGAAGGTAGTCTACCTGGAAGGTCCTTCCAGACTACCTGGAAGGTAGTCTGAAGGACTACCTTCAGAAACACTGTCTGTGCTCTTCCCATGGAGAGCGTGCTCACTTCCCATTTCAAGAGAGAGTGGAGAACTGGAGCTTCTGATGGTAGCCACTGAGGTGACTGTGGAACTCTGTGGCCACAACCTGGATTAGAGAGGAGACCTGGCCTCTGGAGTGAGTGGTGGACAGTCCCCACACTGCTGCTGGTGGTTGAAGGTGGTCCCTGGCTTTGGCCCCATCCGTGGGCATACCTCAGGCACTCATCTAACCCCCTTGGTCTGGTACCTGTGACTGTTGGCTCAGAATGCCACTTTCTGATGACTAGGTCAGCTATGGAAACAGGCTCAAGGATTCTTCTAATCACAAGAATGAGTATAACCCTGGTGAAAATACTTATATCAAGCAGTACCTGGTTTAGACTGGGAAAAAAATCTGAAAACCAAAAACTAGGACTTGCGTCACCACTTCTGCTCAGTGAGCTCCTATTCACTCTTTCATCTTTCAGGAGCATCCAAGCCCAGGGCACCACCACCCTGGGAAATTCAGTGCTCTGGCAGTACCCTTGAAAGGCTTCTCTAAGCTGTCTGTCTGTATGTCTGTCTGAGCAGCAACCAGCCTGGCATCAACTTTCCATAAATGCTTTTCGAATAATGAAAATATGGTCTCGAAAAGATGATTTCTCTCCCCTGGGTCTCCATATTCTTATCCAAAAAAATGGGAACAATGATAAGAGGTAAGAGTGGAGCTCAGGGGACTCTGGGCCTAGTATGGACAGGAAGATGAGAAAGAAGGGGGCTGGGAGGGAAGGAAGTGGGAGAAAGTTGCCAGGAGTAGAAGGAGGCCTGCCCAAAGCCAGATGTGGTGGGAGATGTGAGTGGGGAGAGGAGGCTGGGCACTACTTTTCCTCTAGAGCCTCACTTGCAATCACCTGTAACTAGGACAAAAGGCATTAGCTTTGGCCAATGGTAGTCAGGGGCAAACGTAGAGGACTTTCCTGTCACTGGTCCTGCTCTGGCAGAGGCTGAATGGGTCATAGTAGTGAAGGTACAGGGATATGCCTGGAGAGGGTGAGTTGGTTGGGGTAAGGGTGGGCTCTGTGATCCTTGAGTCCCTTTCAACCCCCTTGGCTGTCTGTGTACAGATGGGAATAACATCTGTGTCCCTCTAGGATGGGCTTAAAACTGCCCTGGTTCCCAGACTACAGAGACAACTGGGATGTTGGGGTTCAGGGAACAGAGCCAGCCCAGGTACCTCAGGGCTCCATCTCCTGGTATAGCAGGGGAGGTGGAGGCCATGGGAAGAATGAGAATAGCTCATGTAGATGGCTTTGGCAAGGAATTCATTTTGGAGTGAAAGCTCCTGGATCCTGCTAGATCCAGCAATGTTGGCCCTGCCCAGCTCTGGGCTTCCACAGAGACATCTCAGAGGGCTATGCCCAAAAGCCCTCACTGGCCTTTGAGGCCCTACCACCTCTGAAAT